GACTTAACGTATAGAATGTTAAAGAAGACTGGAAAACATTTATTGAATATATGGTAAATAATTGTGTACAGCTGAAAACGCTGGCAGCATTAAGATAAATTTGACAGTGTAAATAAGTTTGGATGGATGCAATAATGGAATACTGACTGGTATAGTTTTTGCAAAATATGCAGGGATTTAAGAACTGTAAAATGAACCATGGAAAGAGAAGAAGGGAAGGCATTGATATCTTAAGGATGTAATATGAGCATTTGAAATTGTAAAACAGAAAATTTTATAATTATTTTTTTTTAAAAAAAAACACGAATGACTCTCATTCCCAGAGCCCTTGAAATAGCTTAGATTGTAAAGGGGGGTACAGAAGGGTGTGTCACTGTGTATAGAAACTAGCCTACTGTGTGCAAAGGTAAAATTCACAGGTAATTTCCCTGCTCACCAGTCGCAGGGACTTTTGAAGGTTGCCCAGAAGGTAACATGGTCCTTGGGCATAGAAAGAGTTTCCTGTTCCCTTTTACAGAAGCAAGAAAGCTGATGGACTGACAGATTCAACTCTGAACTCTGCAAAAATCTCCTATTCTGCCTCCTTCCCCTCCTCAGCCCTCATTACCTTTCCTCTCTCCATCTCCTTAGCCTCATCTCTCTCTTCTGCCTTTAAGGGGGGGGGGGGAGTGAGGTCTAGAGGTAATTTGCCTTCCTCAACCTTGCTCATAAGGAACCTCTGCTTTCCACCTTCCCAGCAGACAGAATTTTATAGATTCTGTCCAAAGTCCACCCATATCTATTTCTGCGTTTAAAACACCCTGGGAAAACGGGGAGGGGACGGGTGTGCCTTTCATTCCCCGCTCTCCCTAATATTCTCTCTCCTCCTCTTGTCGTTTCAAATCTTCGCAACTCTTCTAAATTAAAAACACACACGTCTTGGCCAGCAAGTAACTCCAGGCAGACTCCGACTCACACAGGCTCAAGAGTTGTTTGGCCCACTTCGCGCTTTCTGATACGATCTGTGCAAAACTCGCTGATGGATGGGCTCTGGGGAAGGCTGCGATTTGATTTTTATTTTAAAAAGCATTGGCTCGAAACTGAAGGCATGCAGGCCAATTCAGGTTAAATTGGGAGGATGGGGCCCTGGAAGTGTACAAATGCCAGCTCACAAAGGAGGCGGAATTCCCCCCCCCAAAAAAAAAAGATATTTATTTTGCTGCACAAAGTGTCTTGGAGATCAGTTTATTTTTGTTGGTGGTTGGGTTTAAGAATGCCATGGCTGGGACAGTTCCAGAAAACTAGGCCGCATTCACACCAACACGTTTAAAGCTCTATTATATCACTTTAACAGCCATGGCTTCCCTCATGTTGTGAGGGCAAAACAGAGGTGCCTTTTCCTATATCAAGGTAGAGGAACCTCAAGAGCCAAATGTGGCCCTCCAGGCTTCTCTGCTCGGCCCTTGGGACCCCCAGGCCACACCCCTCACTGGCCATACGCTATGCCCTGCCCTTTTCGTGTGAACTGAATGTTTTCTTAAGCTGTGTTAATGGCTGCACACTGTGTTGGAAACTCAGATATATAAGCTAGGTGCCAAATGGCTCCTTAAACCAGGGTTTTATTCACCAAAATGGAATGCCTAGTTGCCCGTTTTTTGGCCAGGCAGCTCAAAAGTCCTATTTTCCAGTATGAATCTTTGGTTCCTGAAATTCATCCTGATTGTGCAAATAAAATATAACAGATAGAATTCTACAGGATGGGGTATTAGCGCAGCTTCCGGGCCATGTGGCCAGCATGACTAAGCCACTTCTGGCAAACCAGAGCAGCGCACGGAAACGCTGTTTACCTTCCCACCGGAGCGGTACCTATTTATCTACTTGCACTATGAGGTGCTTTCGAACTGCTAGGTTGGCAGGAACAGGGACCGAGCAACGAGAGCTCACCCCGTCACGGGGATTCAAACCGCTGATCTTCTGATCAGCAAGTCCTAGGCTCTGTGGTTTAACCCACAGCGCCACCCCGTCCCAAAATGTGCCTGGCAAATTTCAAACACTGGCTGAACACACATCATAGAGGAATTGAACTGGAAAAGTGGAATATAAACACGCATTATTAACTACAGACAAACCAAAATTATGCTTTGGGATATCCGCTCTCTGCCCTGGAATTCAGCTGTTACACAGGCAGCATGGTCCCTTGCTGCTACTGAGGACTAGTTTCGCAGGAAGAACAGGTGCTGTATAGCAAAGCTCAGCTCCTCTTCCCTTTAACCCACACCAAAAGCTTGCCAATCCTTGCTCAATATTAGGGAGTTAGGGTCTTTATCCTAGCATCCCAGAAAGGTTACAGTTCCTCATCAAGTGTGTCTATATTCACCTTTGGAAGAGTTTACAACATGATTCCACCCAGTTCAACATCCTGCAAAACTTAGTGCACCCCACCCCACTCTCTTTAAAACAAAAACAAGTTTCTAGTTCTCATGGGCTGAAAATTGGCTTCAAAGTATGTGGGCAATACATTGTAAATTCTCAGGTAGGGGTGAGGATTCTCTTTCTACTCTGTCTAAAGCAGGGCACCAGGATACAAGGGCACTGCCTTTGTGGTCTTTAAAAGAGGCCGTGTGAAATATATACACATAAAGTTATCTAGGCATCAATTTGTTTTGTTTCTCGCTTTCTAACCAGACGATCAATGACCAGGGTTGGCACTTCTGTGCCTGTAGCTCACTGCCGTTCCCCATGATTACTGAAGCAGAAATGAATTTATGTGAACTAATGGGATGTGTGCCAATTTTCATGATTTACACAGGTTGCAGAATTCCTCTTTTCTCCTGCACATTCCTTCTCACCACACTGATGAAGTTTAGACTGTAAGCGCCTCGAGGCAAGAGCCTGTACATGACTGCACCACAGCAGACATGCGAGGCTACTGTTCGTGCAATTTCACTTTCGAGTCTATCAATTTGCCGAACCTGCACACACTTTTATACAAGAAAAATCCATCTTGGGTTGGGGGAGGCATACATTTTCTAAACACAATGTGCACCTATGTTGCAGCAGGTCTTAAAAGAGGCATTTGGTATTCTTGCTCTCAAACAGGAAAGAATACATCTTCTAAGATGGTTCCTGCTGTCTGCAGTTTTAGTAAGTATATTTCTTTTAAAAATATTTAACATTTCCTCCAATGAACATGAGAACAGCCTGCTGGATCAGGCCAATGGCTCATCTAATTCAGCATTTTGTTCTTCCCTGTGGGAAACCTTCAAGCAAAACTCAAGCAGCAGAGTTCAAGGTACCACACTTCATCTTCACAATACCCCTGTAGGGTAGGACAAGCTGGGACAAAGTGAATAGCCCAGGGTCACCACATAAGCTTCATGGCCAATTGGAGGATCAGAACTTAGGTCTCCCTTAGAGACTCTTAACTACCTGACAGGCCAATGCCTCTCCAGACATTCAGAATAATATTAAAGATAAGCTTCACTGTGTGTGGTGAAGTTTCTGCAGCCTTTTGGCCAAAGTTGAGTACAATTTCTGCCTTGGCGGATAGCTGATGACAAGCTATTCTCATCCTTGACTGTCACTCCAACCACACCAGCACACAAAAATAATAATTGGCTGTCCAACTAACTGAGGGCATTACAGCTGATCAATTTTTTAAAAGCCAATTAATTAATCAACCTAACCATGCAGCCATAACAATCACTCCCACAAAGACTGGACTGGTTGAGGGGTGGGAGTTCTACCCCTAATTCTCCACACCCTGATTTTGTTGTCGTTGTTGGCCTACAAAATTTTGGTTTCTCCTAGGGCTGCCTTACGTCCGGATTTTCCCGGACATATCTGGGCGGAAATCGGGCCAATGTCAGGGGAAATCCAAGCGTATGGCAGCCCGTGTTGGCAGTGCCCTTTTTGCAAGTTTTTTCCTTTCTTTCAAAAATGGCATATTTTCAGCAATCTTGCCCAACAACTCTGGCAAAAAAAGAAGAGCTCAACAACTTTTCTGTTTGAAATATAGCAACCCTAGTTTCTCCCTTATCCTGCTGTTCCTCCATCTTGTTTATTGGTGACACTGCTTTGGTTACTATCCTGCCGCCCACCACAGAGTTCGCTATTAGAAAGAGCTGCAGTTCACCACCCTGGTGTGCTGAAAGCCGCTCGCCCGCTCCAGAGCTTTCGGCTGATTTTTTTTGGAGTGCATTTTATATTGTTTCGTTAGCTACTTTGACTTTAAGGGAAGCTGGGGTACAAATGTTTTAAATGAACACAAAAAGGAACAGTGCAATTTCCCCCCTCCTCCAGCAAATAATCAGGACTGGACAGGGATGCATGGAAAGGCAATCTCAGAAAGCTTTTATGCATGGTGGCTGGATCAGGCCAAAAGGCCCATCTAGTTCAGGATTCTGTTCTGACAAATGGCCAACCTACATTTAAAAGCAGGGGAATTAGAGAGGAAGAAGCAATTTTCTGGAAAGAGAGGAGCCGGCTAATACACTTATGACCAAGTTAGAGTTGCTCAGTTACTTTGTCTTCTAGGGAAAAGTTTCTGGCTCCAGTTATTTATGAGAATAGCAAACCAAGAGTAGAAAATCTCCTACAGATTGCACCCCAATTCCAGGTGAGAAAATCCAACCCATCACACCTCCCCTTTGGAAGACCCCTCTATACAAAATATTACCACCATGCTCTGCTTCCTCTGGGCACCACTGCCAAGCAACCAAACACACCGGCAGCCTTGCTGCTTTCTAATGAATAGATTTCCACTTTTCAAAGTAAAATAAGAACTCCTCTCAGCTCCGTAAGGAAAACAGACAGGGAGAGGAAGGAAGGACACGGTGCTTTTGCGTGAGGAAAAGCGCTAAAATTGTTATTACTGATGATAACTGGTATCGATTGTGATATTATGTGGGCCAGGCTCCCATTTGCCAAATCCCCCTCTCTTGCTGAATTGTTCGTACAGCCTTCCTCCAACCCGAGCCCCCAATCGCAAAGGGAGTTCGGCCTCCATTTCCCCCCCCCAATAAATTTCTGGGGGAAGTGCTGGAACAAACAGCCAGTGCTGCATCTGGGATATATGCTCACGATGACCCAGTGTAAACGCAATAAAGCGCCTTGGGATATTTTGTATTAATTTGAACCCACAGCCAGGCGCCACCTTTCGGATTCACTTCCAAAGCTTTCAAAGCACTCCAAAAACTGTCCACCAGGCTGGATATTTTAAACAAAGGGGAGGGGGTGTTGTTGAAACGAACCATCTTTATGTTGAAGCCTGGAACCTGCAGTCGGTCACAGTCTCGTAAGTTAGAAAACCTCCATATTTGGCTCTACACACTTTGATCCCCCACCCCAGGAGTTTCCAGCTGAAAGACCCAAGACTTCCACACTGCCCTGTTCCTGGGTGTGAAAAACCCAGGAGTCCTGCCTGCTCAGCCCCCACCTCTTCGAGCTGGGAGGGGAACCCAGGCACCCGGAGAACCCTTCTAGGCCACAGATGGTGAGTATCAAACCCAGGGGCCAAATATGTCCCTCCAGACCAGTCTGGTCCTTGAGAATCTCCCAGGGCAACATCTCAACCTGGTCCTGCTCTGTTTCCACCTGGATGGAATTTGCCCCTGAACTCCAAACCTTCTGCACAAAAGGAAACCGTGCATTCACTGTTCCTGCCCACTTGGGAGGCCGATCACATATATGCATGTAGCCCAGGGAAGAGTGTCTCGAAGGGAATGTGGCCCTTGGGCTGAAACGGATTCCTCCCCCCTGCTCTAGAACAGACTCTCGGCTCTCCAAGACCACCCAGTTCTTCTCCCGGAGATGGAAGAGGAGGCTCTTACTTCCTAGCGACAAGCGTCTCCTCTGAGCAGAGGCTGTTTCCGACTCTCCACCGCAAACCACTAGACTTCTCTTCCCTCTCGCTTCAAAGCTGGACATGGAAAACCGCGATTCTGTGGATGGGCAGACCTCTCCCCCTATGCGCGCGGCGGCAGAGGCGCAGGGTCCCAACTGCTGTTCCAGACTCCCCTCCCTCTGGGGAGACAACCCAGGCGTCCTGGCGCTCCCGGATCCGCCTCCCCAGCCCCCTGCCCGGCCCCGCTGGAGTTGGGAGGGGGAAGCAAGAGGAGGATCGCCGACCCACCAAACCCCGAAACTCTCTCCTGAACAGTTGGGGGCTCATTCGCCACAAAAGCTTCAGCTCCTACCAATTCCGCAGCCTCTCGAGACTAGGGAAAAAGCGCACGCATTATTAGATCCGGGCTCAAGGCGGGGGACCCCATCGCCCTCCTGTCTCCGATGCAAAGAGGGTTTGTTTTTTTACCTGCGCACTGGCGCCGCTTTGCTGTGCCCCCTCCCAGGAAGGGCTTTTCCGTCCCGGCCAGCCTCTGAGCTCCGGCAGCCGGCTCCATCAACAAGTCCCCAGCCAGCAAGCCGCGGCGCTCCCAGGCAGCTCTCACCGCTTGGGCGCAAACATTGCGCGCAGGATCGGCGCTCGGAGAGGGGATGTGCGCGCGCCCCTTTGATTTTCGGAATACCCTCTTTTTTCCTGCGATCAAAATTTTAAGTATTTCCCCCTTTCAGTGTTCTCGCATTCCTCCACCCGCCTTGCAAGACACCGGATTCCCCTCAAGCGCAAAATAAAGAAGGCGCGCGCGCGCGCAATCCGCCTGCGCTGAGATATAAGCGCTCCGATCTCAACTCGCTTCTCTTTAACTCCCCCAGCCAAGCTTTTGGCAAGAAAAACTCGCAGCACAATGGAGGGGCGGGTCCCCTGGCCCCCTCCCTTCCCCAAGCCGCTTTGTTGCCACAGGAACAGCCAATCCCGCGCCCAGAAACGCCTCTTGCGCCTTCCAAACTCACTAATCAGAAAAGCGGAAAGGCAGGACTTGAGAGCTTTTAAAAGAGGGGGCGGGCGAGGCTATGTGTGGATTTATAGCCATCAATGTCCGTTTCGTTTGCAAAGGCTTGTGGGAGATGTAGTTCAGCCCCCGTGGGCCAAGGGCTCCTCTATTGATGCGGAGTGCCTCCTAGTGGAATGGGCTGATGAGCAGGTTGCAAATGATGGTGATCTCTCTTCCCTCCCCATTTTACAAATGATTAATTGCCCCCCACCCTCAGAGCCAAAGGGGCCCCACCTGTCTTTCTAAATCTATTTTGATAATGCTGTTTTACTGGTTTTTATGTTGTCTCTCCATTCTGTTTTATTATATATTTATTACCGTACATTTAGTGGTTGCTTTTTAACCAAGGTAACTCAACATGACACACAAACAAAGAAACACATACATTGAAAAGGAAAAACGAATAAAATCCTATTTTTTCAAAGGCAGGATTAAAACATTCTATCCATGGGTAATTAAGAGCCAAAGACCTGGTGAAAAAGAAATATTTTTGTCTGGAGTCAGATGATGATTACAGGGTCCAGGTCGTTTCAGATGGGGAGACGCAGACCATGAGGTGTTAGGGTCCTGAGCCATTTAAGGCTTTATAGGTCAAAACCAGCACTTTGAATTGGACCTGAAAATCAATGGGCTGCCAGCAACTTGGCCACCGAATTCTGCACCAAGTCACCTTCAAAGGCAGTCCCACACATAATGCATTGCAGTAATCTAACCTAGAAGCTACCTACCAGAGCATAGACAACAGAAGTTCGAATGTTTCATTTTTTGAACACCACTTAAAGATTTTTACTGAGCAGTGTATAAATGTTTTAAAATGAATGAACTCCCTGAATGAACTTTGGCTATGCAAAGTCCAATCCCAAACCCTCCAGGTGTCCTTTTCATTCTGCATTCATGTGTATTCTGCAACCTGCCATTGACACGATAATAGCATATTGGTGGCGGATTTCGACTGGACTGTCCACTCATCATTCCATGTTATTAGCTGCTCAGCAGTGCTTCTCTGTTATTGCTGTCCGGAGGGGCACAGCATAATAAAAACTTAAACCTGAACAGTTGTGCTATGAAATATTACAGGATTTCAGCAGGGAGTTGCAAAGCATGCACTGACTGGAAATGGAGAAACATGCCCCCCATGAAACATTTGCAGACGCAAATAGTGTAACTGCCCTGATAACGTCATGAGCACAAATAATCATGAATGCACAACAAAAAGGGCATTACGGAGATTTCCAGTGAGTTCAGAAGAGCAGGAGCCCCTCCAAGTAAATCCAAGACACATTCTACTTTCCCGATGCTTTTTGGACAGGCTCTGAGATGCACAGGTGCATGATCAAATGTGACTCAACACGCCGCAGTGGGGAGCCCAGTCTCTCGCTGCGGCTTCTAAATTGCCACTCAAACCCAAACTCCCCTTCCATTCTCCACGTCCCCCCTGGGCACAAAGCACACACTACTCTGACTGCACACACATCAGAGCCAGGCAAGGCAGCAGGTGTGTGACGGAGGGATTATTTTCCTCTCTCTAATCACTACCTCAGAGGGGCTGAAACAAGAGATATTGTTTGAAGTTCCCTTTAATCTAATCCTGGTCTGGGCGCAGGAGACATCTGATCTCTCACTGCGGCGGCTGAGCTGGAAATACCTGTCTGGGCTCAAATCCATCCAGGCCTCCCCCTCCCCTTTATTTTGTCAAAGGTTTAAAATATATTTCCCGGCCAAGGAATGCGTTGGAACAAGGCTCAAATTCCATTCACCCAGCCCCTCTAAGCCTTCCCAAGTAGGAGCTGCTCTAGGAACCTGCATTTTACCAAATCAGACCCAGGGTGCATCTCTCTCAATATCATCGAACACCAGAGGTTCCCAACCTTTATTTTTTTTTACACACCTGTGGGGTCACTTGAAAGTTGCTGAGGAATTTGATGGATCACTCAATTATTATTATTATTATTATTATTATTATTATTATTATTATTATTGCTTTCTGTTGTAAAATTATTATTATTATTATTTGCTTTCTGTTTTACAACAGAATGCAAAAAGAATAATAACAGTGATCCACCAAAATCCTCAGCAAAGAATTGTAATGTGCTGTGCTAGGGATTCTTTTATTTGTTATATACTGTATTTTATTGTATAGGATTCAAATTGCATAGGGGTGGCTCAGTCGGCAGAAGCATGAGACTCTTAATCTCAGGGTCAGGGGTTTGAGCCCCACGTTGGGCAAAAGATTCCTGCGTTGCAGGGGGTTGGACTAGATGACCCCCAGGATCCCTTCCAACTCTGCAGTTCTATGATTCTATGAATTCAAATTGTGATACAATAGAATGCAATATAGGAAATGAAATAAGCAATAAGCATACAAATCAAAATTCAACAGGAGGCACATGCCATCTCCTGCCTTCAGCCACAAACCCACAGACATGCCATGGACCAGCTCCATGAAACTTCCAAACTCCTGGTGGTCTGCAGGCTAAAGTTTGGGAACCCCTGGTCTACACAGACCGGGAGTGGCTCTCCAGGCTTTCAGACAGGGCCTTTTTCAGTCCCATCGGTAGATGCAGGGCACTAAACCAGTGACGTTCTACATGCAACGCAGATGCTCTACCTCTCTTATAACCATGAATATTGGTGTATATTTAGCTGCATTTTTGCACTACTGTATAGCTTTACTCTGCCTTTCCTCCAAGGATTAGCGGCTTTGTCCTCATGACGAAAACAATGCTGCAAGGGAGGAGGAGCTGGCAGAAAGAGAGAGGAAGGCTGGATCCAGGCATGCCAAATAAGCGATTCAGTTAAACGCGTTGTAAACTCATACAGTACAGGGAAATCCGGTAGGGCAAGGCAGGGTTCCACAGTGCCATCTGGTGTTACAGTGTTGTATAGCATATAAAGGTAATGGGACCCCTGACCATTAGGTCCAGTCGTGGCCGACTCTGGGGTTGCAGCGCTCATCTCGCTTTATTGGCCGAGGGAGCCGGCGTACAGCTTCCGGGTCATGTGGCCAGCATGACTAAGCCGCTTCTGGCGAACCAGAGCAGCACATGGAAACACCGTTTACCTTCCCGCTGGAGCGGTACCTATTTATCTACTTGCACTTTGACATGCTTTCGAACTGCTAGGTTGGCAGGAGCAGGGATCGAGCAACGGGAGCTCACCCCATTACAGGGATTCGAACCACCAACCTTCTGATCAGCAAGTCCTAGGCTCTGTGGTTTAACCCACTGCGCCACCCGCGTCCTGTATAGCACATACAACACATCTAAAATGCTTTTCCTTTACCAATCTAGCTGAGTCCAGAGAGACAGAGAATGTTACTGGTTTATGGGAACCCAACAAGCTTCATGGCTGAACAGGGAAGCCATTCTGCCCAGGCAAGCTCTGCTGGGTGACTACCTAGTCCTCGTCCAGCGTCCTGTGTCCTCCCCTGTCCAACCAGATGCCTCTTGGGGAGCCACAAGTAGGGTACGGGGACAACCCCACTGGGATTCACCAGCAACTGGAATTCGAGTGGCACCCTGCCTCAGGTCATGGAGGTAAGACATAACTAATGGGATGTAATGGGACTAGTTGGATACAGAGGAAAGGTAGGTGGAACCAACTGGGGAGCCACCAAGGGAAGAGGCTCAGAGCCTGGGGAGTGGTGGTAGGACAATGATTAGTGGTTATAGAGAGAAGAGGAAGAGGTGTCAGAAGCTGAAGTGGTAGCAGAGCTTAGTGACAGGGGAGTCTCTGGCAGAAAGAAGACCAGAATCAGAGGCAGAAACAGAAGCCAGGGAGGAGGGAGGCCAAGAGGCAAAGATACGTCAGGAGGGTGTCTTCGCCTCCTGCTATGACAAGCACCCCTCCCTCCTGTCTTTCAGAACCAGAAGAGGGCTGAAAGGGGCAGAGCAGTGACAGACTTCACACAGGCGCAGTCTCTGATTGCTTGGGAAGAGCCCTGGAGAGGAGGGGACTTCGATGGCTGTGGGGAGGCAGGGGCTCAGCAACTGATTTATGAGGTAAGACCTACCGGGGATGAACTGCTGTGCTCATTAGGCATATAACGTCCCTGCTCCCTGATCTGCACTGCTTGCGATTTGCTACCAGGCCAAGTTCAAGGAGTTACCATTAGCATATAAAGCCTGTCACAGCCTGGGATCAGTTTACTTGCGGGATTGCTTTGCCCCGTATGTACCCACTTGACAGCTTTGATCGGCAGAACTGGCCCTGTTACAGAGGCCCCATAATACCCCTTCTGCGCTTGTAAGAAATCAATCAGCATCTACACTTTGGAACTCCCTGCCTAGTGACAGAAGGCAGGAACAATCACTGTACTCTTATCGGAGTACATTTTTGTTAAGGCAAGCCTGTTCAGAAACGTAGGTGCAACCCAGTTAGATGTGCGGTATAGAAATATCAACACCATCATCTCTTTCTAGCTTCTGATGATTTTAATAATCTTTTAACTGTTTTTAAACGCCTGTCTTTAACTGCTTTTTATTGATAATTTTAACCTTTTGCATTTTTGCAAACCGCTTAGAGCTCCTCTTATGATCCAGCGCTATATAGATTTTGTCAGTGCTTTTTTTTTAAAGAAAAAAGGTGGTAGTACTCAATATAAAGTTACAGTTAGTGTCACTTTTAACATTTTTGGGGGTGGGTGGAAAGATGCCATACTGCGAACCCTTAAATACCCCCAGAAAAACGCACTGGATTTTGTTAAATAAATAAAAATAAATACATTTAAATAACAAGAAAATCAGACCAAGGCTGCAGTGTTTCTTTGCTGTAGGTTCCCTTTCAAATCAGTGGGTCTCAGCGTAAGCACTGTGTTTTTATACCCTCAGGTTCATTACTGGACTGAGATCTAGGGGGCTATATTATCAAAGGCCTTTGATAATATAAACCACAGAACCACAGTGACCCTGTTTCAAGGCCAGCCTTTGGGCAGTCAGCGCCCCTCCAACTTTTGGCAGTGGGCGGAAAAGCCTACGTCACGCAGCCTCTGCCAGGCACCCTCTTAGCTGTGAGCTTGCTGAGGACACGGCTAAAGGTAAGAGGAGTTTAAGAGTAAATAATATTGCAGCTAAGCTGCTTTCATGTATCTCCCACAACAGCCTCAATCAATCCCTTGCAGTTTGGCAGAAGAATCTTGTGGTTCGGAGTGGAGCAGGCCTCTCTTCCTCTCCCCACAGCGGCCCCATTTGCAATAAGTCTCTTTCTCTCTCTGGGTCCTTCTGTGTGCTGCTCCCAGAGCTGGCATTTTTTATAAGCCTGAGCTGTCAAAATGGCAGGTAGCCGGTAATTAGCCTCTGAAAACATAGCAAATCAGATGGCCACCGTCTGCCGGGTTCTGACAGGCTCTCTGCCCGTAAACCTGCTGGCTTTTTTTTTTTTTTGCCTTGGCTCTGCCCCCAAATAGGGATGGGGAAGAAATTCAATCCAGTTCGCATTTAAAGACACGTCCTGAAACAATAAATGAACCGAAAAACAGCCATCCTTCGAAATTTGCAATTCTCCAGATTTTGCGACTCAGTTCTCCAGGCAAGTAATGTATGCAGAAATGCATAAACAGGGCTAGGGAAAGGTGTGCATGAATGCATATGATAGTAAGAAAGAATAAAAATGCATTACAGTATGGAGCTTATGTGTGTGCATGTAAATACGGTGGTACCTCGGGTTAAGTACTTAATTCGTTCCGGAGGTCCCGTACTTAACCTGAAACTGTTCTTAACCTGAGGTACCACTTTAGCTAATGGGGCCTCCTGCTGCTGCCGTGCTGCCGGAGCACGATTTCTGTTCTCATCCTGAAGCAAAGTTCTTAACCTGAAGCACTATTTCTAGGTTAGCAGAGTCTGTAACCTGATGCGTATGTAACCTGAAGCATATGTAACCCGAGGTACCACTGTATATGATTTGTTTGTGACAGGACTCGCTAGTGCAGAATACTGGCATCTCTTCTCTCTCTTTTTTTGCTCCCCATGGCAGCCATTTTGTGCCGGCACCCACGGCAGTTTTAGCATTATACTATGACTATATCATTAGCATAAATGTCTCCAGTAAACATTAACTTACTAGGTTGCCAAATAGACAAGTTGGTGTCAGTCCTTCTGCTGATTATGGCTGCCAACTTACTAAAAAAAATATGTTTAAAAGTACAAGATGAATTTTAATCATGACACTGGCACCTCATTTTTTGTTTACCTTTATCTCTGCATGTATATAAACACTGTATGCATAAATAAACCATGTTTTGTCAGATAAGTAGTTTGGGAGTGTGAAAACTTCCAAAAATGATTATGCTCCACCTACGGCCTACCTCATCCTCGTAGGTGGCTCTCATAACACACCAAGCTCCAATCCTGGCACAAACCCTGTTTCATCCTACTCCATTTTGGCTCTGCCCCATAGTCATCAAGTTCCACTCCAACTCCACCTTCCGTCTGCAAAATTATTTTCTGGCTCCCCCCCCCCAGCTATCAAGCTCCACCCTCATCCCATACCTGCCCTGCTTCTCTCCTGAGTCTTCAGTTTCCATTCTGTCTCTGCCCTTGTCCTATGAGATTGCATCCGGGCTTTGCCCAGTATGGCTTCTATGGCCCCAGTACGATCCAGGAACCAGTAATGTAGAAATCACAGTTGGCAACCCTACCTAGCACTCGAAACGGGCCCCAGAGTTTTGCTCTGGTTCATACTTAACCTCTATGCATGCAAAGATTCCCTTTCCTCCAAGCCGCTTCAGTACACAAGAACCCTGCAAGGGATTAGGCTGCGAGGTAATGATTTACTTGTGGGGCATCAGGTGAGTTTAACAGCTGAACAGAACTTCACCTTAGCTCCCAAATCTGCAACTGCCACCACTATCTGTAGAGTGGGCAACCGTGTGGACCCCCAACAGTTATTTTTGTTGGCACAGAATTCACAAGGCCGTCTCCTGCTCCCACGGCTTCCGGAATCGGAACTCAGGTCTCAAAGACACTTGCCTACTTTTGCAAAACTGGCCCCCAGGGCCTTGAGGCGAGGCAGGAGAGAAGGGAAAGGGAGGCAACGCAAAGCTTTCCAGTTCTGTGAAGGTTTCTTTAGTGGGCAAGAGTTACCTGTCTGTTTGCGTTAGCTCACTGAAAGCGAGAGGTGTACAGTGATGACAGCTGGTTGATCGCTCTGACAAGCCAGCGAGCCCAACGCCCGAGACCCTGGGGCAGCGCAGGTGGAGCAGCACTTTGGCCAAGCCACGCTGGGATACCATCTGTGGTTAGAGGAACCTGATTCCAGACTTGCTGGTATTCTCAATTGCTGCTGAAACCATTTGTAAAGCCAGCCAGATCATTTGGAGAAACCCTCCCGAAAGTCCCAGAGTTATCTTGTATTCATTTAGTTTCTTCTTTACTTGTTTAAGAAGTATTTTTTTAATTAAAAAACTAGCAGCCTCATGCCCAGCAAAACAAAACTATTGCAGTTCTGAAAGCAGCGGGTAAAATCAGGGCAGTGCGGAAGGCCCAGTCCACCATGTTGATTCAAAATGGCGCCCAACTTTAGATAAAGCTTGTCAACTTTAGATAAACCTGGTCCTTCGTCTCATGAGAATCCCCTTGCATCAAGAAGGTCCTCAAATGAATCCCCGGCATCTCTGGGTGGGGCTGGAGAAGACTCCTGCCTGGTACCTTGGAGAGCCACTGCTGCCAGTCCGAGTAGGAAATGCTGAGCTATATGGACCACTGGTCTGCCTTAGTATAAGGCAGTTTCCTGAGTTCTTGAAAGCCCCACAAATTGACTAGATATCTAAAACCAGTCAACCCCGGTTTTCCCAACCTCCCCTGAGATGTCTATAGCTGAAAATTGTTCATTGAGTGGGCCTATGGAGGCAGGGGAATCAAACAGATATAATAGGTAGCTTAATAGGTTCAGGAATCATTTACAGGTAAAGACTTAGGTCTTGTCAGTTAGCTCTGTGAATTTGTCCTCAAAGGCTGGAATAGCGGAAGATGGGGGCAAGTTAATAAATAATAATAATATTATGAATAATAATAATAAGATGCCGCCCATCTGACTGGGTTGCCCCAGCCACTCTGGGCAGCTTCCAACCAATTAAAACATCAAACACAGTAAACAAAATCAAACTGTGCCGAGGTTTTGAATAATGAAGCAGTATATTAATTTTATGAAGTAAAAAAAAAAAAAAATGAAGTTAGTGAGCAACCTAATACAAACAGCCTGCACCCTTTTTGTTCTATTGCATTTTTTAAAAAGGACTGGACACTTTTAAAAGCGAAAAACATTTTGGCCCTTCTATGTTCCTCTGCACCGTCTCCTTCTCTCTCTCTCTCTTTTTTAAAAAAAGATATTTATTAAAGTTTTCAAAATGTTACAAAAACAAAAAAATGTCTCCTTCTCTTTATGCTCTCAGATCCCTCCCTACTGCTATTTCTTCTTTCTCCTCCCATGGTTATTCTCAAGTTTGCTCAGTGCTATTTTTTTCTAGAAAAAGAGGTGGCAGAACTCCCCATGAACTTGTTCCCTTATAATGGCAACGGTGGCCCATCTGAGAGCTGCCGGAATTGAGTTTCGGCTGAAAAAAAGCCCTGAATTTGCTAATGCTCCCTGCATTAATGCTCCAAGCCCTTCTCTGTCACCACCCCTCTCTGGGAATAGAGCTGTGGGGCCAATAGCCTCCAGACACACTTAGGCCTGCTCTGTCCTTCTGTGACGTAAGAGGAGCTCAGCCAATCAGTGCCAGAGGCTCCAGTTTCACAGCCTCATTGGGCATATTACGGCCTCAACTGTTTGTGTCCTGCTATCGTGCTGAGAACGAACATGAAGCGCTCAGGCGGCATGTCTTAAAAATTCCCGCAGGATCACTTTCCCGTGCCCATGCGTTCTCTCCCCCCCCCCCCCGCAATCCAAGTTAAAACACGGGAGCAGTTGCGTAACCATCTCAGAGGGAGTTCTACAAAGTTTTCTGCGAGAGAAGAGCTCCTTGCTTCACAGCGTGAGCTTTCTGGAATGGGATCTGAAATTTCAGCCCAGCCTTCCCCCCCCCTCCCCTGTCTCTGTGGGTTTAAAAGGACAGAAAACCTGAGAGAGAATGTTCTGGAAGAAAGCAGCAGCAGGAAGAGGAGAAATGGCCCAGAGCTATTCCTCCCCACAGGCTGCCTTCCCAAGTCATTGTGGCCATTGATAGCTGCCTTCTCTGTGAATTTGCCTAAAGGTAAAGGTAAAGGGAAAGGGAAAGGGACCCCTGACCGTTAGGTCCAGTCGTGGCCAACTCTGAAGTTGCGGCGCTCATCTCGCTCTATTGGCCGAGGGAGCCGGCGTACAGCTTCTGGGTCATGTGGCCAGCATGACTAAGCCGCTTCTGGCAAACCAGAGCAACACACGGAAACGCTGTTTACCTTCCTGCCTATTGATCTACTTGCATTTTGACGTGCTTTTGAACTGCTCGTGCCACGCTCGCCCCTCGTGAATTTGCCTAAACCTCTTTTAAAGGTTGCTGACCATTGCTGCCTCCTGCAGGAGAGTTCCACAGTTGCTAACTATGCGCCGTGCAAAGTACAATCTTTGTCCTGCATCACCCAACGTGATCAATTTTGGATTTTGGAAGCCCGCAAGCAGAACCTGAGGGCAACTTTCCTCGCTTGTGATTCCCAGCAAATGGAGGGAGAATATAGCCAGTGTGACTTGTAGGCCTTGATAGCCTGACCCGCCCCTCCAACCTTCCTCTCCCGTGTCCCCTCCTCCTATCCTCCACCCACCTATGTAAGGAATGTGTGAAGCAGATGGGAAGAGTAATCAGGAGTTATTAAAAATAATAATAAACAGGTTCCAATTAGGGACGATGTTTTGTCTAAAGAGAAAAGGCGACACACAAGCTCTCCCTTCTGGTAGCTTCTAACCAAAGCACTTCAGGGTGGAGTAACTTTGCTTTGTGTGCTATTTTCCCTTTAGAGATACAGGATGCTAAACAGTCATATGATTTTCCTTATTGTAAATGAAATGCAAAGGTGTGCCCTGGATGGAGGCACGCATGACTACTGGTTTTTAGTATCCCTGAATTTTACAAACGCTAACTGGGTTCTATTCATTGCTATATAATAACAATAATAATAATAATAGGTAAAGGTACCCCTGCCCGTACGGGCCAGTCTTGACAGACTCTAGGGTTGTGCGCTCATCTCACTCTATAGGCCGGGAGCCAGCGCTGTCTGGAGACACTTCCGGGTCACGTGGCTAGCGTGACATCGCTGCTCTGGCGAGCCAGCGCAGCACACAGAGCGCCGTTTACCTTCCCACTGGTAAGCGGTCCCTATTTATCTACTTGCACCCGGGGTTGCTTTCGAACTGCTAGGCTGGCAGGCGCTGGGACCGAACGACGGGAGCGCACCCCGCCGCGGGGATTCGAACCGCCGACCATGCGATCAGCAAGTCCTAGGCGCTGAGGTTTTACCCACAGCGCCACCCGCGTCCCAGTTAAACAATAATAATACTCTTATTCAATTGATTATATTATTTGTTTTAGAACTTTTTATAGACTAAAGTGACAACCCCCTCCTCCATTTAATCACCTCTCCACCCCTGCTGGCATGTGGCCCCCAGAAAGTTTTCCAGAAAGTTATGTGGCCCTTGAGCTGAAAAAAATGCTTCCCTAGCCCTGTGGTGAAATGGTCAGAGTGCTAGACTAGGACCTGGGAGACCAGGGTTCAAATTCCCACTCAGCCGTGAAGCTCACCAGGTGACGTTGGGCCAGTCACGTCTCTCAACTGGCCTACCTCACAGGGTTGCTGTGGGGATAAAATGGAGAAGGGGGGAACCGTGTACAACTCCTCAGAGGAAGCACTGGGGTGCGAATGTAAGAATAAATAATACAGAATAAAATGAACTGAAAGTGAATATGTACAGTTGTCACCTTTGATCGCCTTTATTTCTGGGCGGTGAAGTGTCAAGACAGGAGAATCTGCTGGCTTGCGACAGAAAAGGGCACCCCATGACACTCCTTAAAGGCACAGACAGTTTGTAAAATGTCTCCTGACTGCCCATGCTGGCTGTTTCTTCCAGGGTGAAAGGGAAAACTCATTGCTTGCTGCCAACCCTTGCAATGGGGTTCTGTTCCCTGAGTATCTGAAACTCCCACAAAAAAATCAGTTTGTACCCCAACCAGAAGCCCCCAGGAAAGAATCCAAAGCATCCCTTTAAAGCATGTGCAGGGAAACATTGGCCCTCCAGATGTCACTGAACTACAACTCCCATAAGCCTTGGCAAGCAGAGCCAACAGCCAGGGGTGATGGGAGTTGTAGTTCAGCAACTCTGGAGGGCCACAGACTGCCTACACCTGCTTCAAACAAGAAAACCAACCAACCAACAAATCAACCAGCCTCCCCATTTGGCAGCCAGATAATCCTCCGCCAGCAACAGGGGTTACGGTAAAGTTAAAATCCCCCGTGGAGTCAACTCAGCAGCTGAGGAGTTCCTAGTGCCCATCCTCATCTCTTCCTCTGGTTATTTGATACGGTGGTGGAACTGGACAACGGCCTTCTCCTGGTCATGGGTCTCGATGGAGCCTGGCCGCAGCTTGCGGATCTCGTGGATGGCGTCAACACCAGTGATCTTCTGGGTCTTGGCGAGGTAACAGGCCAACATGGTTCCGGTTCTGCCAAATCCCAGCATGCAATGCACTGCCACAGCCTGGTGAAGAGAGGGAAAGCCGCAGTGTGAAAGAGCCCCTCTGGCCCCTGAAGAAATTAACATTTGTGAAATTAAAGAGCTCCTGGCACGTCTGCACTCTTCTGTCGCATGCTACCCCGACCTCCGAGTGGTGCGAGATCCCAGCAGTTCCAGGCACTTACCAAAGGTTCGTGTTTCCTTTGGAATGAGGCACAGCAGAGACTGTGGTGTATTTATGATATATGGTTTATTTACATGTATATACAACCTGAGCCTGCATTCACACCCCAAGACTGGCATTTCCTTCATAGCCACAGCCTTGGATTCAAAGAGAAATCAAGCATTGCTCTGCCTCTCTCTTGCTTCTAGATCACATCACTGTAGGCTCAACCCTCACCTCTCATCTTTCTAACTACCAGCCAATTGAGGGAGGGTTTCCTGGGAATGGGGATTGATTGTTAAATCACTCTGGCAATTGTAGCTCTGTGAAGGGAATAGGAGTATCCTAACAACTCTCAGCATCCTTTAAAAAACTATAATTCCAAGGATGTTTAGCCATGATTGTTAAAGTGGTATAATAGTGATTTAAACTTCAGGTACGGATGGGGCCTTGCAAATCAGTGCCATTAATTTTAAGGCCTCTCTTGCAAGAAATCTGCTTGTAAAAAAATGTGGGGTGTTTTTGTTGGCTTTTTTGCAAATTAGGGAAGCATCAGGGAAATGCACTTGAACAGGAAGACATCAGAAGCGGTTTGCCAGGTGGGGTTTCCATTGGGTGGGTCGCTGTTGCTTACCACAAGGGAGAGGTGAGGTGCTGGATTGGCTCTGCTGGTGCTTTTGCACCAGGCTGAAGCTCTGCCACCTCCCCACCCTCCCACAGCGACCCACTTGCAGTGAAGCTAGTGAAGCTACTGAGCTGCTTCTTGAACCTACCTATTCCACGCTTTCTGAAACAATGTGCAAATGGGGGGAAAAAACAGCCACCCATCAAAATCCGTACCTCTCCGAATTTTACAAGGTAGTTTTCCAGTCAAGCAATGTGTACAAATACACAGACGCACAAACGAAAGTGTAAAAATGGCACATTACAGTACAGTGGTACCTCGGGTTACATACGCTTCAGGTTACATACACTTCAGGTTACATACTCCGCTAACCCAGAAATATTACCTCGGGTTAAGAACTTTGCTTCAGGATGAGAACAGAAATCGCGCGGTGGCGGCGTGGCAGCAGCAGGAGGCCCCATTAGCTAAAGTGGTGCTTCAGGTTAAGAACAGTTTCAGCTTAAGAAGGGACCTCCAGAACAAATTAAGTACTTAACCCAAGGTACCACTGTACACCCCCTTCATAGATCACTGCCTTGCCGTGGCAAAGGGGCTTGAATAACTCAGAGAAGCTATGAGCTATGCCGTGCAGGGCCACCCAAGATGGACAGGTCATAGTGGAGAGTTTTGACCAAATGTGGTCCACCTGGAGCAGGAACCGGCAAGCCACTCCAGTATCCCTGCCAAGAAAACTCCATGGACAAAGACAACAGGCATATAAAAGTTATGATGCTGGAAGATGAGCCCCTCAGGTCGGAAGGCGTCCAACATGCTACTGAGGAAGAGTGGAGGACAAGTACAAGTAGATTCAGAGCTGATGAAGCGGTTGGGCCAAAGCCGAAAGGACGCTCAGTTGTGGATATGCCTGGAAGCGAAAGGAAAGTCCAATGCTGTAAAGAAAAATATTGCATAGGAACCTGGAATGTAAGAACCATGAACCTGGGTAAGTTGGATGTGGTCAAAAGTGAGATGGCAAGAATAAATATTGACATCCTGGGCATCAGTGAACTAAAATGGACGGGAATGGGCGAATTCAGTTCGGATGACCATCACATCTACTACTGTGGGCAAGAATCCCGTAAAAGAAATGGAGTGGCCCTCATAGTCAACAAAAGAGTGGCGAAAGCTGTACTGGGATGCAATCTCAAAAATGGTAGAATGATCTCGATACGAATCCAAGGCAGACCTTTTAACATCACAGTAATCCAAGTTTATGCACCAACTACTGGTGCTGAAGAAACTGAAATTGACCAATTCTATGAAGACTTATAGAAATGACACCAAAGAAGAATGTTCTTCTCATTATAGGGGATTGGAATGCTAAAGTAGGGAGTCAAGAGATAAAAGGAACAACTGGCAAGTTTGGCCTTGGAGTTCAAAATGAAGCAGGGCAAAGGCTAATAGAGTTCTGCCAAGAGAACAAGCTGGTCATCACAAACACGCTTTTCCAACAACACAAGAGACGACTCTACACATGGACATCACCAGATGGGCAGCATCGAAATCAGATTGATTATATTCTCTGCAGCCAAAGATGGAGAAGCTCTATACAGTCAGCAAAAACAAGACCTGGAGCTGACTGTGGCTCAGATCATCAGCTTCTTATAGCAAAATTCAAGCTTAAACTGAAGAAAGTAGGAAAAAATTACTGGGCCGGTAAGATACAATCTAAGTCAAATCCCTTATGAATACACAGTGGAAGTGAGGAACAGGTTTAAGGATTTAGATTTGGTGGACAGAGTGCCTGAAGAACTATGGATGGAGGCTCGTAACATTATACAGGAGGCAGCAACTAAAACCATCCCAATGAAAAGGAAATGCAAGAAAGCAAAGTGGCTGTCCAACGAGGCCTTACAAATAGCGGGGGAGAGAAGGCAAGCAAAATGCGAGGGAGATAGTGAAAGATACAGGAAATTGAATGCAGATTTCCAAAAAATAGCAAGGAGAGACAAGAAGGCCTTCTTAAACGAGCAATGCAAACAAATAGAGGAAAACAACAGAATGGGAAAAACTAGAGATCTGTTCAAGAAAATTGGAGATATGAAAGGAACATTTCGTACAAAGATTTCCATAATAAAAGACAAAAGTGGAAAGGACCTAACAGAAGCAGAAGACATCAAGAAGAGGTGGCAAGAATACACAGAGGAACTATACCAGAAAGAAATGGATGTCTCGTATACCCCAGGTAGTGTGGTTGCTGACCTTGAGCCAGACATCCTGGAGAGTGAAGTCAAATGGGCCTTAGAAAGCACTGCTAATAACAAGGCCAGTGGAAGTGATGGTATTCCAGCTGAACTATTCCTGCCTGATCACCTCATCTGTCTCCTGAGAAATCTCTATGTGGGACAAGAAGCTACAGTTCGAACTGGATATGGAACAACTGATTGGTTCAAAATTGGGAAAGGAGTACGGCAAGGCTGTATATTGTCTCCCTGCTTATTTAACTTATATGCAGAATTCATCATGCGAAAGGCTGGGCTGGATGAATCCCAAGCCGGAATTAAGATCGCAGGAAGAAGTATCAACAGTGTCAGATATGCAGATGATACAACCTTGAAGGCAGAAAGTGAGGAGGAATTAAAGAACCTTTTAATGAGGGTGAAAGAGGAGAGCGCAAAATATGGTCTGAAGCTCAACATCAAAAAAACGAAGATCATGGCCACTGGGCCCATCACCTCCTGGCAAATAGAAGGGGAAGAAATGGAGGCAGTGAGAGATTTTACTTTCTTGGGCTCCATGATTACTGCAGATGGTGACAGCAGTCACAAAATTAAAAGACGCCTGCTCCTTGGGAGAAAGGCGATGGCAAATCTAGACAACATCTTAAAAAGCAGAGACATCACCTTGCCAACAAAGGTTCGTATAGTAAAAGCCATGGTTTTCCCAGTAGTGATGTATGGAAGTGAGAGCTGGACCATAAAGAAGGCTGATCGCCGAAGAATTGATGCTTTTGAACTGTGGTGCTGGAGGAGACTCTTGAGAGTCCCATGGACTGCAAGAAGATCAAACGTATCCATTCTGAAGGAAATCAGCCCTGAGTGCTCACTGGAAGGACAGATCGTGAAGCTGAGGCTCCAATACTTTGGCCACCTCATGAGAAGAGAAGACTCCCTGGAAAAGACCCTGATGTTGGGAAAGATTGAGGGCACAAGAAGAAGGGGACGACAGAGGACAAGATGGTTAGACAGCGTTCTCGAAGCTACAAACATGAGTCTGACCAAACTGCGGGAGGCAGTGGAAGATAGGAGTGCCTGGCGTGCTCTGGTCCATGGGGTCACGAAGAGTCGGACACAACTAAATGACTAAACAACAACAACCACCACTGTACACTAAAAATAACATATGCAAACACGTTGTATTTGACAAAATTGCTCATAAATTCATACTAAAATTTTCATGGGGGTTGTTTTTTAAAATCGCAAACTGATGTGGAAATGTGGAGACTTAAGGTTGGAAAAGAAACTCAAGGAGGTAAGAATCCGGCCCGCTGCTCAAAGTCCAGTTCTCCACCCCCGGCATAGACAACACTAGACTAGCTAGAGAAATCGCCTTGATACGGCAGCATGAAAACTGACCTCCCCCTTGGCGTTGGCATCGTCCACAATCTGCAGGAAGCGCTGGATTTGCTCAGGCGAAGGCGGGCAGAAGTCGGTGATACGCAGGCGGTGGAGCTGGATGCCGGGGCAGGTGTCGTGGTACGGCGGGCTGCGCTCCGTGAGTGACACCAGATGTCGGATGCCATGTTCGTGCATGTACCGGTAGTGTGCGGGCAGGCGGGGCATGGCCAGCCCCGCCAGCTGGCCTGGCGCTACCCAGGAGAAATTGGGTGGCTTGTCGGACGCCATGGACCCTGTGAGCGAGAGGGAGAGAAAAACCAAAGCGGAGGTAGTTCACCAAAAGGCAACTCCCTTCTCCCTGCCGTGTACTCAAAAGGCTGCCTGAGAATTGGGCGCGGTTCCTCAGTGCCACCCTCTGCGGAAAACTTCGCCTCGGTGCGGTCTGGCTGGAGCTGCCCTGAGTACAGCCCCGGAGGATTCTGGGAACAGAGCCGCCACCGCCTAGCCCTCAACGCAGCCAAAGGTATTGGGTTGGGATTAAGCGTTCTTAGAACCAAAGCTGGTGTGTGTGTGGAAATCCGCTGCCCGATTTGGAAAAGAAAACAAAACACAGGATGATCGCTGTGCTAACAGAAAAAGGGTGGGGAGGTGCCAGAGAGATCTCCGGTTGTTGTCTTTGCAGGTATTAAAAGCGAACAACACAGGAAAGGGAACAAAAAGGTATTAAGCAAACATTCGCATAGAAAGGCAGCCTTTCTCTGTGTACCAGCTGCTAGAAGACACACAGAGGAAAGCGCTACTGTCTTCACATCCTCGTTTCGGCAGGGCCACACTCCTGTCTGGGCAATCTTCTGAGGGCCACATGTCAGCGATGACCGGGATCAGATGCAGAATTTCCACCAAGGTCACTGCCTACCTCTGTCTAATGGTAGGACCGGCCATGGGCAAATTGCTGGGATGAACAAGTAATATTCTGTTATTTGCTCGTTTTGCACCTCACTTACCTCATGGGTTATCGTTGTGAGGAGGAGCCCCTTTTGCAGAGGAGGCAAAAGAAAACTGGAGCGCTGCAAGAGAAAGAAGTAAACACAAGAGATTTTTGTTTTAATTAAGATCCTCTCGGCGGTGCTGACGAATTTACTCCAGCAACCTATTGCAGAGGAAAAATAACAGGGTCTTGTGGCACTGTGGAGACCCTGAGCTCTTCCTGCTGACCTGTTTATTGAGCATTCATCCAGATTTGCTGGTGGAACGCTTGTGCGGAGTTTATACAATGTCCATGCTTTACAGAGCACTGGCCCTGATTTTTTCACAGGGAGGACAGACACCGTTTTGTCAATTGATGGTTAACTCAAGATTTTTGGTGCCTTCCTCCATCACTTTCTTTACTTTCCTTATTTAAAAAAATAAGTTGATATGTTGCACCAGAGGGAGCTTTAATTGCACTATCTTAAAGTTCTCAAATATGCTTGGGAATACTGGAGGTGTCCTAACATAAAGACTAACTGGCATAAGATTATACAGAGCAAAGTATTAGAGCAATTCATGATGGATAAAGCTCTCAATGGCTATTAGCCACCAGGACTTGGTTCTCCCCGCACTGTCAACTAAGCTACCAGAAAGAGATAAATATTCACATCAGTTGTTCCACCTGCTTTTGCCTCTAGCCCCCCTGGCCATTGGCATGTGGCCCCCAGAAGGTTGCTAAGAAGGAAATGTGGCCCTCAAGCCCCAAAAGCATCTCCACCCCTGCATAAAGGGTCAAAACAGCACTGTAGATTCTGTAGGTCGTATGAGTAATAAAAATGGCCGGAGTCACTAAACCTTCTCAGAGGAGTCAGCTTGTTCTAGTCAAAGGACAAGAAAGGAGAGTCTTTAAAAAAAATAAATCAATTAATTATGGTTTATAGAGAAAAAGATAACGTAATATATTTCCCCTTTTAAAAAACCAAACCAAGACTTTAATCTAGATACAATAAAAAACAAAGGGGGGGGGAGAGAAAGAAATAGAGGGGAAAAAGAGAGGGTAGAAAAGAGGTTAAAAGAGAATGATAGAAAGTAAGATTCAGAAAGTAAAGGACTTCCGATTCTTCATCTGCCTGCTATGTTAATGTTTAATGCTGTATTGCGTTTTTAATATTCGGTTGGAAGCCGCCCAGAGTGGCTGGGGAAACCCAGCCAGATGGGCGGGGTATAAATAATAAATTATTATTGTTTAAATAATAAATTTGTTGTTGTTGTTGTTGTTGTTGTTGTTGTTATTGTTATTATCATTACTATTATTACTATTATTAAAAAACAATATTCACTTAGTCCAATCAAATATAACAAGAAAGGAGATTGTGACCAAAAGTTAGGAAGACCTTTCTGAGGGGGAGAGCAGCTGGGATTCCCTCAGAAGGTGGACTCTCCTTCCATGGAGAGCAGAGATTGGCTTGGCCACCTGTCAGGGATTCTTGAGCTGAGATTCCTGCATTTTTGGGGGAGGCGGGGGTTTGGACTAGATGCCCCTTGTGCCCTTCCCAACTCTACAGTTCTAGGATTCACCAAGGAGCTCCTGACAAGCTTCCAAGGCCCGTCAAGCACAGAGGCATGATGGGAATCTCTGGCGGCGGCCCACCCTTGGCGCTTAAGAGCGATGACTCAGCGCCTCTTCCCACAGATAACAAAAGCAGGGGGGATTATCTCCTCTGAGGTCACCGGAGTCAATGAGAAAACCTGCAGGGAGGCTCTCCGGGTGGGATCATGTAATCTCTCTGCTGGTGGAACTACCCAGACCTGAAGCTTTGCAAAGCAGAAGCCAATGGCCCAGGGTGCCGCCATCTTTGTTGGCCCTCAGCCCAAGCAGATATTCCCTGGGTGGCCTCCCAGGGGAAGGGGCCTTCGCAGGCCCTCCAAATGTCCCTATTTTCCAGGGACAGTCCCGGATTTGCAGAAGCCATCCCGGTTTCTGATTTGATGCCAGAATGTCCTGCTTTCCCTTAGAAACATTCCTATTTTCACCAAAGAAATGTTGGAGGGTATGGAGTTATGCAACTATACAACCTTTAGAAGACATCTGAAGGCAGCCCTGCATAGGGAAGTTTTTTTTAATCTTTAATGTTTTATTATGTTTTATATATGCTGGAAGCTGCTCAGAGTGGCTGGGGCAACCCACTCAGATCGGTGGAGTATAATAATAATAATAATAATAATAATAATAATAATAATAGAAAAGGACGTTCCTAGTTTCCCCGGAGAAATCTTGGCAGAAAATCTGCTTCAATCTGCTCAGTGGCAGAAAATCTGCTTCAATCCCTGGTGGCATCCGTTTCGAAGCTGTGCAGGATCTGGTGGGGACTGCGCTAAGGAAGAAATAAGGATAAATATATTTAGGGCTGCAGATGTACAGGTTCACTGAGTCATAGCTGTCAACTTTCAGATTTGAAAATAAGGGATCAGCAGCCTCGAAAATAAGGGGACAGTCTACAGGATATCTAACAATCCAGGATAGCAGTGGGAAGCAGCAGAAAATGGTGCCGGAATAAGGGAATTTCCCGCAAAAAAAAGGGAAGGTTGACAGCTATGCACTGAGTTCAATGGGACTTACTCCCAGGTAAGCATGCCTAGGTTTGCAGATGCAGTTTATAATGCCCTCCAAAATGCAACCTTTGGTGTTACAGCAGCCTCTTGTGGCCACCATTGCTCTGTACAGGAGAAGCCGAAATCTTGCTTGTGAGCTTCTCAACTAGGCCTCTGGTTGGCCATTGTGAGGATAGGATGCTGGACTATACAGGCTCCCTCCAGCCTGATCCAACAGCACTGCACTTCTCTCTGCCCCCACCTCCTGCAGCCAAGGAAAGATAAATTTCCCTAGTAGTTAAAGGGTTAGTGGTGAAGGCGAGTTTAGGTCTCACTGGGCCAAGACGATTTGAGCATAGTACACCGATCCTGGCCTGACTGCCAATTACGTAGTTTCAATTCAAAGTGCTGGTTGTGACCTATAAAGCCTTAAGCAGTATCTCAAGGACTGCCTCTCTCCATATGAACAGACGCTGACTCTGCAATCATCCTCTAAGGCCCTTCTTCATGCGCCCCACTCGCAGGACGTCCGGAAGGTGGCAACACGAAAACGGGCCTTCTCTGCAGTGGCTCCCCGTTTGTGGGATGCTCTCCCCAGGGAGGCTTGCCTGGCGCCTTCATTATACACCTTTAGGTGCCAGGCAAAAACATTCCACTTTAGGCAGGCCTTTGGATTATTAACATCTTATGCTCTTTTAAATGTGCCTGTGAGAGGTATTTGTTTTGTTCTTTTTCTTGTTCATATTATGTATTTTGTGAATTTCGCCTTGTACTCTTATTCTGTAAACCACCCTGAGGTCTACGGATGAAGGGTGGTATATAGATTTAATCAATAAATACAATAATAACAACAACCTGAGCCCCAGGAGATCTGCCTCCTCCCCTCCACCCATCAACACTACATATCTGAGGATCCTTGCATCTCTCCAAGCCAGCTTCCAAGTAGTGCATTTCCAACATTATTATTATTTATTAAATTTGTATGCTGTCCTTCTCCCATAGATCTAAGGGCAGTTCACAACATAAACTTGCAATATAAACACCACAAAATACATAATTAAAAAATAAACAAAACAAAACCATCCCACCCAAGCATAGGTCTTCTATAGATCTCTGTTCATCCTTTGGGAAGTCACATACCATCCAAACACAATATTAAGAGGTGGGCTTCTTTCAATGAAGTACAAATGGAAAATAGTAATTATTATTTGCTTCATATTTTCTGGCATCCCTCCATGGGACAGTCATCCCCAAACCTCTTTCCGAAAGCATTTTATAGGATACACATATATACATAATTTTATGTAAGGCAGCTTACACCATGGAAAGAATACGTAAGTACAACATAACAAAAGTAGTCACAAACTCTCTGTGGAATGCCCTCCCTTCAGATGTCAAGGAGATACAAGAACTATTCAACTTTTAGAAGACATCTGAAGGTAGCCTTGTATCTGGAAGTTTTTAATGTTTGATGCTGTTATTATGTTTTATATATACTGTAAGCTGCCCAGAGTGATTGGGGAAACACAGCCAGATGGGCGAGGTATAATAATGAAATTATCATCATCATCATCATCATCAACAACAACAATAAGTAAAACATCAAGAAGTATACAACCAAACAGAAAAACTTCAACATAAATAATGAGCTCTAAAATAAAGATACAAAAAAATAATATTAGCAACAACCACCCCACCTGCAACAAAACCCCCTAAACAATAGTTCAGGCCAAGGCTCTGTTCAGCAGCCTCAACTTTTGTAGTTGGAGTCAGTCAGGGCCCTGCCTTCCCAGGCCAGGTGGAAAAGGCTCACAAGGCAGGGAGAAGGTATTCCAGGACTCACAGCCAAGATGGATAAGATTCTCTCTTTTGTCTAATTTCCCCCTCTTTGAAAGCCTTCAGAAGCTAGCAGTAGATAGGGGTAGGGAGCCTGTTTAAATCTCGGGGGCCACACTCCATTCTGGGAAACCTGTTGGGGGCCACATGCCAGAAATATGTGTAGCCAGAGGCTAAAGCGGGCAGAACATTACTGGTGTGTCTGTTTCCACATGCATCTATCTCCACCCTCCAGCCAGGCAAAAGCACTGAAGGGGGTGTGGCCAGTAAGGGGTGTGGCTCTGGAGGATGGGGAAAGTCCTGAGGGCCAGGCAGAGAGGCCTGAAGGGCCGCATTTGCCTCTGGGCCTGAGGTTCCCCATCCCAGGACTTGCCCCTTTGACAGAGTGCATGAGACACAAACATTATTGCTTGCTGCTGATCTTAATCTTATACTGTATTTTTATATTGCTGTAAGCCAGAATAATAAAACTGTAGAGTTGGAAGGGAGTGGGGTGGTTTCTTGGTTTGTTTTTGTTCTAGTCTGCATTCTCGCTTTGTATTTTCTATGTTGTGAACTGCCCTGTGATTTTCAGATGACGGGCAGTATACAAATTTAATAGAGGAATAAAATACGTAAAACCTTGTTTATCAACAAACTTAGGAACTTAGGACTAGCCTACCATCTTTCAGTGCAGGAATCACGGCTGGGATCTTTGGGGAAGGGCAGGTAAGATATCCAAATGCTCCTCCAAACAATACAGTTTTCTCATCACTCTTTTTAAATGTACAGAAAACACTCTGAGGGCAGATTTAAAACCACGTACTTCATATACAAGCTGACTGCTTGTCAGTCCTCGCCCCCCTTTGCTAGACAGCCTAAAAATAACCCTTGGCAAAGAAATCTTGTCCCAGGACGACATTGAGGCTGCCCTCAAACGCCCCCCCCCACATAGTCCTATAGTGAGTCAAATCATTGGTCCATCTCGTTCAGTATTGTCGACACTGACTGGCAGCAGCTCCCAGGGATTTCAAGCGGGGACATTCTCAGCGCTACCGCAAGATGCCAGGCAGTGAACTTGGGACCTTCTACATGCCAAGCAGGTGTTCTATCACACAGCCGGTCCCACCAGTATCCTGTAAAGTCTTCAACTGGTGGGTCGGGGCAAGCGGACCTGATCTAAGGTGGGTCGCAGGAGGAACACTCTCACCCTGCAAATAGATGGGGGAAATTTAAGAAGTGGGTCTCCAAATGCATGTTTGGGTTAAAAGTGGTTCCTGGGTGGCTACCAGCTATGGGGCATCTACGGCTCGGCATCCGTGCATGTGGATGGGCAGCGCGCCCCTGGAATCAAGGCCCCCTGATCATCTGCCGCTTCCCCCCTTTTCCTGACATTGTTTTGGGTACCCGATTTCCCGCGCAGTACCTGAAACGAAAAGCAGGGTTGCAAAACAGGAGAAAGGAGCCGGCTTGGAAGTCATACCGATGCCAAGGGGCGCACTTCCTGCCCGCCCAGTGCAAGCGGAAAGGGAACCTCTGCAAATGCCCGTCCTTTGGAGAGCAGAAGAGTGCAAGGGAGCCTCTCCAAATTCCCAACTTTTGCAGCAAGAACCAAGCCGGGCAGAAGGAGCTGTTCAGGGTGGGACTCCCAATCCGCGTCGGGATGTCTCCATTCTTGCTTCCTGTGGACATGATGATCGCAGTGGGTCAGGATTAATTAACAATCCCCGGGGGCCGGAGAGTGCGCCCTGCCTGCTTTTACGCACGTGTTTGTTATGGTGCGCCCTGTTTGCCACTTCCC